TGATACACTTTCTACAGTATGTAAAGAAGGAAGATTTTATGTGTTGTGTTTGTTTTGAAAATTAAAAAAAATAATAATAAAAAGAAAGATCGGCAGTTCAGCGGCTTGAATCCCTAGTGCTGCATAATGGAGGAAACTCATGTTAATTGTCTCAGCTTCTGCCAACCTAGCAGTTCGAAAGCATGTAAAAATACAAGTAGAAAAATAGGGACCCACCTTTGCTGGGAAGGTAACAGCGTTCTGTGCGCCTTCGGCATTTAGTCATGCCGGCAACATGATCACAGAGATGTCTTTGGACAGTGCTGGCTCTTGAAACGGATATGAGCCTCACCGCTTAGAGTCGGGAACAACTAGCACATATGTGTGAGGGGAACCTTTACCTTTACCTTTGTTAGGTCACAATAAAAAAAAAAAAGGTAGATGTAGGAGCCACAATTCCAGGCCCCCTGGCATCTAAATGAGAATCATAGAAGAGATCCTGAACTGTGAGGTTAGATGGAAGAGGTTACTACAGCACATTTGCTAAATCAACTGGAGCCAAACAGTAAACTCTAACCTAAAGTCACCTAAAGTCTTCTTCTCCATGTGTCATGAGTTGTCCTGATGGAAGATCTTGAGCATGAATAAGAGGGAAAACACCATTTTCAGGATGGAGAACTTTAAAAAGCCAGGCTGAGGAGATGTTTAGTGGAGCATTATCCACCAAGGCAACGAGACTGTTTGGAGATGATTTTAGAATGTTTTGCAACAGCAAATTATGATTTCAAGTTATTACATCATGAAGTTCTCTTCAAAATAGCTAATTCTTTTTAGAAACGTTATTTCTCCTTTTCTGTTCTATTGTTTTATATTTATTTTTCTTTTCATTCTAGTATGGCACTGTGATTGTTGCAGAAGATCAGAAAAAAGGATATCGTATATTTGAAATAAAAGCCACGGATGCTGATGAAGTAGGCACTGGAAGTTCTCAGATTATTTACACCATCACAAAGGGTGACCCAAATAATAGTTTTACAATACTGACTGATCCAGATACAAATATAGGAGCTATTATAATTAACAAGGTGAATGAATGCCATTTCATTTATTGTTATATTACATAGATTTAATTAACATTTCCTCAAGGCAAGGCAGTGAAATGACTAAGAACAATGCTATATTAATTAGCAAATAGCAATAGGATGTCTCCAAATTTAAGAAAACCTCCAAATTTAAGAAAATTGGAGGAAAATGTTTTTATATGGTTGCAATTTTGCAAGAGATTAAAATCTTATGAGATTCTATTTTCCTTTGAGATCTTGTGAGTTTTAAGGCCAAAATGCTAAATGACACAATGAATGGTTTCACACTTACCAAACCTGAAGTTGCAGAATTTTGGAAAATAGTTAAAACAATATACTTAGAAGTCTACCCAATAAATCAGTTTCTTCTTCCTAGTTCCTCCATTTTGAAGGCAGTCATGTAATAAACATTTTACTTGTGGTAAAGATAAAAAAAACAGCCATATTATCTTATTGTCTTGGAATACCGAGAAAACATGGAGATGCCACGTGCTCCCTTGAGGAAACTAAAGAGAAAACTCAAAAACTCAGTCAATCAAAGCTTCATCCCCAAGATGAGTGATGGCTAACCTTTTTGTTGTCGTGTGCTGAAAGCGTGCATGCATCTGCACCCATCAATGTACGCATCCCACCCCCTGTGCATGTGAGTGCGATCTCCTGCGCTCCCCCACCCTGCACATGCACACATGATCCCCTAAGCTCCCCCTGCCATCACGCATGTGCATGTGGCAACTTCCCATGCCCCATTTTTGGCCTAGCAGGCCTCCCTGCAGCATTCTGAGAGCAAAAACAGGCCATAGGCCATGCCGTACCCCCCTACTCCCCCCTGCACCCTTACACATGCACACGACCCCAGTGCACGCAAGCGTGGGGTCCATCCACCCCCATGCATGTGCACACACCTCCCACATGCTCCCCAGCCCCCTGCACATGCACAGTAGAGACCCAAAAACCAGCTGGCTGGTGGGAGGCGCATGCAGACGCACATGGAGTTTGAGCTGGGTGACAGCTCGCATGCCCGGAGAGAGGGCTCTGTGTGCCACCTGTGGCACACTTGCCATAGTTTCGCCATCATGGACCTAGACAGTACAGACCTGAGAAAGTGCCTCTTGTGCACCTCAATATCAGGCACTTCCCACAACTAGGCAGATAGCCGAAAAACTGACAAATGTAACCTAGGTTGCAGAAAATGGAATTAATCTTTCTAAAAACCTGACCTCTCTTCTGGCAATGTCTAACCAAACAGAATGGTTGCCAGTAAAAGCAAGCAAGCAAGCAAATAAATAGATGTTTTGGCCCTATAGCATTCTGACCTTAAAACTATTTGAGATGCATTTGATCTGTTTTGTTGTAAATAAGCAATGATCATTCAGGGTATCTGAATTGTGCAGTTTCAATTGCTGCAAAGAGGGAAAAGCCTTATTTGAGCTTACCCTCAGATTAGTGAACTAGTGGGGGTTTAGTTCAGGGTCTACTTTGGGTCTACTTTGAGTTGGCCTGGCTACAGATGATGAAAAGTTCTAGTGTCGCAGAATCCTTCCTGGAGGATAGGAAGTTGGGGAACTCTGCTACAAATATATTTCGAGAAGATAGTGTGGTGTAAGTTCGTGGTGGATTTTTATCCCTGTTTCTCCTTTGCTTTTGTAGGATCTTGATTTTGAAACAAATTCAGTGTATAACCTTACAATCAATGCTACTAATCCCGAACCTCTCGTGGCTGGAATAAAGTACACTTCAAATTCATCTACTTTCTTACGGATTCATGTTACTGATGTGGAAGAACCTCCAGTTTTCCTCCGTCCCAGCTACATAGTTGCGATATATGAAAATGTGACCATTGGTACCAGTGTGACAACCGTAAAAGCTTTTGACCCAGAAGGATACACAATAAAGTAAAGGCAAAAATCTATTTTGGGGTTGGNATATGTATATGTATATGTATATGTATATGTATATGTATATGTATATGTATATGTATATGTATATGTATATGTATATGTATATGTATATATGCATGCATGCGCACGCACAAACGCACACACACACACACACACACGCCCCAAGGATTGGACCACCTGGCGGAGGGAATCCTCCCTGATTCCTTCTCTCTCCCCCCACCCCCACAACTCCTCCTGACTCTTCCTCCCTCTCCTTAGGAGGCTGGCGGGGGCGTGTCTCCCCTCTCTGACCCCCCACCTCACCCCACCCCACCCCTGCCCAGCAACTTCTGTTTTGCTTTGATGGCGTGGAGCTCATGTTCAGGGGGCGTTAAAAGCCTGTCCACCCCCCAGCCTGATTAACTGATAAATGATAAAGCTGCCTGTTTCCAGGGCCTCCTAATTGTTTTCTCCCCCACCCCACACCTCCCACGCCCCCTTCCCTTTCGCTTTCTTTCTCCCTTTCTCTCCATCTCCTGCCCCCCCCCCCAACCCCTCTGGCCCTGTGCCCCTCTGTGCCTCCCATCTGCCTCCCCTAGTCTGCTTTTGTCTTCCAGTTCTCTATTGACACTTCTTCTTCCCAGGCCCTCTGGTGCCTTCAGGGAAGCCTCCTGAAGGCTCCGGAAGGTGAAAAGTAACTTCTGGTTTGCTCGTAGGGCTGTTTTTTGCCCTCCGGAGCCTTCAGGGAAGCTTTCTGAAGGCTCTGGGGAGCGAAAAACGGCCCTATGAGCAAACCAGAAGTCCATTCCTGAATTTCTGGTTTGCGCCAGTTTTTTTGGTTTGCCCATAGGGCAAAAAATGGCTTCAAAAGAAGGCTGAAGTCAGCTGGCCAGCACACGCATGTGCGCTGGAGCTGACAGGGCAATGCCTCCGTGCCCTAACAAATGTCTCCGTGTGCCACCTGTGGCACGTGTGCCATAGGTTCACCATCACGATGCTAGACCAACTTCGATCCTAATTTGGGATATATGTATAGATATTTTTAAAAAGAAGTCTTCAGGCACATTAAATTAATCTTTATTCAACCACAGACCAGCAAATTCAGGCACATATATTTTTTTTCCTTTGATCGAGTAGACTGGAACCAATTCCGTTATCTGAGCTACCATTTGTATGAATCAGGACCTTCTACATGTAGGAGTTACATTAATCTGAGACTGATCTATACACCTTGTCCCCGTGATGCCATCTGTCTTTTGAGGCACTTCGGTAGCTAAGCCAATTAATTTGTGACTCAGCTGCTGCTCCAGGGAAACACTGCGAAGGTTGTATTGTAATTTTTCCACTGCAGCTGTGTGGCACTCAGATTTCCATTGGGCTGAGTCCTTATTGCATCTCCTCTTCTGACTCTTCAGCTCTGCCCCCTCTTTGCGGAAGTCCAGTTGCTATTGTGCCTTGCCGTTCCTTCTCCTCAAATCTTATTTTAGGCTCAGGGACGATTCTGCTACTCCCCCTACCCAGGGCAGCTATTCCTGCTTTTATCTCGCTACAGAAAGAAGTGCAGGTCAGAATGAGGACAAGTGGAGGAGACGCTAGCTTGCTGCTGATTTCGATATTCAGCAGTTGGCAAGACTAAGCAAACAGTGGTTGAGGTAGAGAAATCTAAACTAATTTTGGAGGACAAAGCTCTGAGAAAAAAATGTTCTAACCATTCTTGGCAGGCTCTCCCACATTAAAATTTGCCACTTCATACAGTAATCTCTATAATTAAAGGTTTATTAACTCTTTAAATCTCTAGTCAGAAGCCTGGTCCCTCTCCTCTGCAGCCAGATTAACCATAAAATTCATTGTTCTTATCTTCAGGTTCTCTTATTTGTTCCAATCCTATTTTTCAGTGCTTTATTTCAGAGAAAGAACATTTGCAAAAGTTTTCAGAAAAGAAAAGAAAAACACTTTGTAGAACGCATTTAGGCCCCTCTCTCCAGCTCACGATTGTTCTTCTTGTCATGTTTCCTAGCTTTGCTTCTTTCGATCATTTAATCTCACTGGACTTTTTTTATCAGTTGTTTTTATAGAGATGAAATGATCACGAAGAGGCAAAAGTACAGCCAGCTCACATTTATGGAATGTGAAAAAATGTGCTGTGAGTTGAATAGTTAACATGTACTTTGATCTCATTTTTAGAAGGAGATGTGTTTAATGA